ATTTTAAAGTGTCAACCTTATATAAATTTGCCCTTAAATAAAAAAATAAATAAGGAAAATTACTATTTAAAAAAAAAACGTCTACAGGGGGCTTTGATGCTAGCCAATAGCTCATGATGATGATGCTGCGCAGTTGAGTTCAGAGCCTTCTTCGTAACGAGTTCACGAACAGATGGACTGTTTCTTTACCTCAACGATCCATGCCATTCGCCAGGTCTTGAGAGCCGTTCGTTTTTAAGATCACGAAAAAGAGTGCCCCTTATTAAGGAATGAAGTCAAGCTTTTGAAACCTTTGACCAAGAGGGAGAGAAATAGCAATTTCGTGAGAGAGAGATGGAGAAAGAAAAAGAGAGAAATAACAATTTCGTAGTTGATGGAGAATGATAATTTCAGTGTTCTAAAGAGATGATTGTGGGATTTGTAGAGAGAGAAATAACAATTTCGTAGAGAGATAAGAGCACTTATAGGTTACACTTCTGTCGAGAGAAGGACAATCGCTTTTATACGATGTAATAATTCGGAAAAAGTTTATATATGGATGCTATTTTATAATTTAGAACTATAAATGCTCCTCAAAAATCCATCGGAAAAAGTAGTTTTAATGTTAAAAAACCTTTTGATTATCGAGATGTATGACTATGAAAAATAAAAAGACTGTAAGTCACAGAAATAATGCATTTTACAACATATTATCTACACTGTCCATTTTCAAGATTTTCATATGTTTACATACTTACGTGATTTTAACTATTTTTTAAATTTAAAATTTTATAATTAGATGTAAAAATAGATTTTGAGATAATCCTATAAACATTTTACATCAAAATTATATACCATCATAAAAATTGAAGGTGCACAGCACCTTTCCTTTGCAGCTATGGATGCATCCGTACGCCAACTGCACCTTAATTGGAAACCCTAGATTGAAAACTTTGACAGAGAGTAAAAGAACTGCACCCTAATTGGAAACCCTAGATTGAAAACTTTGACAGAGAGAGTAAAAGAAAGAGAGAAGACTACCTTCTAAGAAAAGATAGAGACGTGAGAGATGTCAAGGAGTAAAATGAGACACCCCCTAAAAAAAAATAAGCAAAATGCATAACTTCCCTTTATAACCCAAAATTACAAAAAAGGTTGGTTAACGCACTGTTTTTTTTTTTTTTAAATTAACCCCAGAATTTTAATTTATTTTTTATTTTTTAGTAGGGCAGTACCCCAAATGTTAGGGGCAGTGCCTAGGCAGTCTGAGGTTGACATTCTCGGACAGTTTGGAATTCTACAAATTCAAAAAAAATAAGTGGTTTAAGGATGGCATTTTCAAACCAGAAATGAAGTTCATAAGGTGGTCCGAGGATGCCAACCTTGAACTACAAATGAAGTTCTAAGCAATCCGATTATGTGAACCTCCAACCGCATTATTCATGTTACACCAAGAGGCGGTCCGAGGTTGGTGTTCTCGGACGAAAAATGAAGTTCACAAGGCGGTCCGAGGATGCCAACTTCGGACCGCTACTTTTTTTTTAAAAAAAAAATACTATCAGTTAGTAGACTCTATATTGAAAAAAAATAAAAAATAAAAAAAAGTTCAAATCCTTGTCCGAGGATTGCAACCTCCCACCAAAAGGCAATTTTGAAAAAAAAAGAAAAAAACCACGCATTAACCGAGTTCTTTGTAATTTTAGACTATACACGGAGTAATTTGTACTTTCCATTTTTTTTAAAGACTATACGTAAATTTCTCGAGAATTAAATAATTGGTTGAATAACCCAATCAATCATAGAAAGGACAAGATACTACTATCTCTCTTGACCGTTTTTGCTTAGAAGGTTGATTTGATTTCCATTGTCATCTGGCATCGGGTTTTTTAGCTGTTTTAAAGGCCCTGAACATCAAGTTTCTGCTTTCTTTATTTCTTTCTCTGCAATTCATTCTGGTTTTCTCTCTCTCTGCAAATTGCTATGGTTTCTCTCTCTCCTGCAATTTGCTATGGCTTTTGCTCTCTCTGCAATTCGTTGTTGTTTTTCCCCTCTCTCAAGAGTTTCGCTAGTTTCCGTTCTCTAGGAATTCTCTAGTTTCTCTCTCTAGAAATCTTTCGCACCCTGAATCTCTGCGCCTTTACAATCTCTCTATCTTCTGTGGATTTCTCTGATGTCTCTCTACTCTCTATAATTGTTCTGGTTCCTCTCTCCATCAATCTATCTCTTTCTGTTCCGCTCTCTCTCTCATTCACTCTGTTTTCGGATCTCTCTTTCTCTCTCTAAAATCTCTCCATGAAACGGCCACAACGATCTCTCCCATGAATCACTAAACGGTTACTCGTCTCTCTCTCTCTCTCTCTCGCACACACGTGTAGGTTTCACATGAATCAGTAAAGTTTCGGTGACCAAAACTGCCCATATGATTGTCCATATCTATGAGAAAGTCCCTCTGCATGATAATTGGCATGGTTTTTATAAGGTTGCAACCTTAAACAATCCAAAATTAAGGTGCACCTTTCGTATAAATTTTTTTTAAGATTATCTCAAACTCTATTTTTATATCTAATTATAAAATGTTAAACTCTAAAAATAGTTAAAATCAATAAGATCAATAACCATATGAAAATTTTGAAAATGGACCGTCTAAATAATGTGTTGTAAGGTGCACTATTTTTCGAACTCAATTTTTTTTTTTTTTCGTATTCATACAATAAGATCAATTGGAGGGTTTTTCAACATTAAAACAACCCTTTCCAATAGATTTTTGAGGTGCATATGTAATTCTACATTTTCAGGTTGCAACCTTATATAAACTTTTTCTTATTTTTAATTTTCAGATTGTTTA